TAAAGTTTTACGTCCTCCTTCTTTTTATTCTTGCCTCGTGCATCAAAAATTTGCATTCCGTTATGTGCAATTAGATTATGCGAAGATTAATGGAGGGCAGGAGTCGATGGACACGCGAGGGGAACACTGGCAAAAGAAGCAAGCGCGAGCCGAAGAAGTTGGCGTGCCGCTTCTGCCGCTGAACCGGCGCTCGTCCAGAATACTAATTTAACTAATTGGATGTGGTAATGATTGAAGGATGGACCTCGGATGGATGGAAACGGCGAAATCCACGCGAACGACCCGTGGATTCCTTACATTTGCGTCGCCAAAGGAAAGTAACTTTTGTGCCACCTCCAAAAAAAAAAAACACACACAAATACAAATTATCCCGACATATGTAAATTTATCTTAAATAGCGATTCAATTAAACTTAATACCTGAAATATGCTAAACTCGGTGGCGATTACCGTACGTATTCCTTGTCATGCCCTTTTCGGACATCCAAAATTCCGCTCCTGAAAAGTCCTTCCTCGGAGCTGTGCACTTATTGAGATTACCCTACGCTCTCTGTTTTACATGTTCATCACCGATGGCATGTTTATTTTGTGCCACCGAAAACGAAACACTTTCGTCGTCGTTGCGACCGTGAGTATTCGAAACCAGAAGGAGATGAGATCGAAACAAGAAGGAAAAAAGTTACCTTGTCCACACACAAATGCTACTTAATTGCAATTGAAACCTACTTGCAGTTGTAAAAACGTCGAAGAGTCGTTTTTCGCTCGCCAAAAAAGTAAAAGAGAGGAGTACTTTAAGAGGACTTTCCTAAAACCAGTTTTGCCAAACATCGAAATTATTGTATTGGAAGAACATGAAAGTATTCGCATGTAAAACACTCATTTTTAAAAGCTTTCATCACATAGAGCAATTAGAATAAGTTATTAGTTACAAAAGTAAAAAACCTTTCAATTATCAAGAATACATTCCAACATATTATAATGCAATGTACTAAATCTTGACTGATATTCACTATTAATAATTACATTATTACTAAAAAACACATCAATTGTAACATTATATAACATGTAATCATTATTTTTTTTTTATATTATAGCTGTATATGTCCTTGTAGTAAACACTCAAAAAAAAAAGAAGTTGAAATACTGGAGCACCATCTCTCGGGATTCTGTTTAAGTTCAAGGTTGCCCTTTACCTTTCCTCTTTGAAAGGGTCATAAACTCATCAGGTTTAACAGCCGCCGGATCATGACACCTCCTCTAAACCGCATAGCTTCGTTTGCGTCCGTCACATTTACAATCGGGATTCAATGGCATTCTTTCACAAGTCAAGTGCCGCACATCATTAGCGACTATAAACATTTCGTATTCTACAAATCCAGGTAGTTGCCATAAAACCAATGCTTTCAATATATTTACTTTTTCAAACATTTCTGAAAAAAATCATCTTCAGTTTTTTTTCACATGATTTCCAGTACGAAATAAGTACATAATTACTTTACGTTTGATAAGAAAAAGTAGGAATACTTTTGATTTATTTATTTTATTGAGTAATTAACTAATTTCAAGTAATGACTTAAGTTAATTTAGTGATTTTTTCTTATTTGTTTCACTTTTGATAAGAAAAAATATGAATATAACATTAATCTAAAAATTAAGTAATTGGCTAAAGTATTGCTTAATTTAATATTAAATAAAAAGAAAAATTGTATATAAGCTCATATAGTATTATTAATAAATCATTTTTAGTTAATTCTAGTAAAAAAATCTGTAATGACTCATTAAATGTCATTGATTATGACATATATAATTTAAGTATGTTATTGACTTAAATATATTTTTTTATAATTAAACATTCATTAACTTTGCATAATTAGGTTTTTATATACTTTATTTAATTAATTGGATACACAAGTATTTTTGGTAATCAATAATTTCGTTGAATCAATATCCATAAATACAAGTTTAATGAAAATCGTAATTAAATTACACATATTGATTTCATTCGATGTACTTTTAATGCGTAATTCCGATGAAAAATGTGAGAATGTTGTAAAACCATTTCAATAATATAAATAAATAAGTTTAGTTATGTGTAAATTATGATGAAGCTTATTGAATTAAATGAGATAAATTAGCAAGACGAGCACGGGAATTCGAGGAAGGAGCGATTTCAATAATGAAATGGTCAGAAGCATTGAATTCCTATAATCCTGCACGGAGAGATTTCATTAAGAAAACCAGATTATCCCCGCATCTAATTTATTGCATTCCATATAGAAATCTTCTGTTTGTTGTTGTTTTGCATTGATGCATTTGCGAGCGTACGAAATTGTATTTTTCGGTTACTGGAATTGCACAAGGTTAGAGGCATGCACCCTGCTCGGGCGTTGAAATCACCGCGCACCGCACCAGCATAAATGCAGTTGCACACATTCATGTGTTGCGCCGCGCGCGCTTTTTTTTTCATTATTATTCTTCTTTCCTTTCATTCTTCTCTCTCCCCTCTGCACCCTGAACGACTGGAACCAGACCCGGGTGGTTTTTATATTCCGAGGGCCACGTGCACGTGCATACAGGTTTTATACCTGTTCCTCATATGCATCCCTCGTTCAACCACCCTAAACAGAGGGAGAGGAAGAACTAACAGAAAGAGAGGAGAGCTTGTCGGGAGAGAAAAAAACACACACATCAAAATCCAGTTGGATGATTTGCCGTCAGGTCGCAGCACCGTGCACGAAAATCCAGAAAAATCGGAATTTTTATCACTGCTTAGCATATAGCCATGGAATTTGGGCCAGGTATATCTGGCGTTCCCAGAAAATTAAGGAGCGTAGGGGGATGAGCGGGTTAATCGAAGTGGGCTCGGAAAGGGGATGAAAAAAGTGAATTAATTCGCCACAGAATGGACAAGAGCCGCCCGTTTCACTATTTATTGTGGCCAATCCTCCTCCTCCTCCTCAACCATACACACACACACACTCGAGAAAACTAACTCAAAAAAGTAAAAAAATAATAAAACAAAAAAAATATAATGTAGAAACGGTGGCTACTTCAAAGGCCCGGGATTAATCCGTGAGATTTTTCAGCGCCGAAAGATGCGTAAGACTTCATTAATTGGAAATTAGCGCTCTTCCTAATGAAAACCTCGTCAATTAGTCAGAACTATGTTTTTTACCCCAAAAGAAAGTTTCAACGGTGGCAGGATTAATTCGTTACATTTGTCTTGTGCGGCTTTCTTAGATAAATCACCGTTTTAATTAGTCTGCTCAAATTTTTCTATGAATTAGCGCTTCTTTTAATCACAACCTCATAAATTGTGAAAATTTTACGTCAAAAATTCGGTTTCTCTTCAAAATGATTTTTTACATCAAAGTGAAATTTCAAAAATTAACTTGTTTATTATTTAATAACCGTGAAATTAAATACATATATCAAATAATCAAAGATAAAATATTTATTTTTTAATTGCAAATTCTAACATATAACTTCAATTTTCGTTTTATCTCTTAATTATGTGAAATTACGCAAAGTTATTTAATGAATGAAATATATGAAATTTTATAGAAAATATTCTGTAAACATTTTCAGCAATCTCTGCAATTGTTAGATAAAAGATTTTTTTAAATTAGTAGACAGATACAATTAGTGCGAAAATTGGAACTTGCTAGGACAACAGTACGATGTGGGTGTTTTTCTTGAAACCACTCTGTTTGCAAACATTTAATTTGATAAAAAAAGAACATGGACCACATAGACAAGTGTTCCTGTTTTCACCGGAATTGACATATTTATTTGGGCGTAGCAGACAGGGATCCTGTAAAAAGGAATCTCATGTTGTGGTGTCGAAACAATGAGGGTCTATGAGTTTTTACGCACTTTGCGGGTGGTAGAAATTGTTCTTATGAGGAGAAGGTGTGTTTTCGGGTAACTAGGAAAGAGAGATGTTTCATGTTTCGACGTCCCAGACAGCAAGGACAGACGCATTGTAACGAATTTGTCTAGACCAATTTTCTTTTTCGATCAAATATGAAATTCAGATACTTATCACATAAAATGCATATGTTAAATAATAATAATAATGATAGATATATTAAAGTTAATTATGTGATTTCTCATTATAAGGAAAGTAAGAGTTCCAATTGTAACGCTAAAAAATATTTGTCTGTTAACTTAGTAATCAAGAATTTAAATATAGAGTGTCAGATCTATTAAATGTTTGCATTGTATGTAATTCATTCATTTATAAAACTGAAATATATTTTCAGTAGTAAATTGTTATTTCAAAAAAGTTACGGGTTAAAAATAAAGAGATTTAACTAGTAGGATATTTCTACTAGTTTCTTAGTTATAATAAATTATATATATATGATATATATATATTTTGATGAAATAGTTGCTTTACGTTTTCATGTATTGGTTATGTAATATCTATTTTTAATATATGAAATTTGAGCATTTTTAAAGCGTGAATATTGGTTAATAAGAAATCGGTAAACCGGTAAGCGCATTTTTGAAATTGGGGTGTTTTTGCGGTTTTGCTATGATTGCTTAGTAGTAATTGAAGTAGTTTGATTGCAGCAATAAAGTTTGAAGTAAGGTAAGTTTATTGGGGGAGTCAGTATTTGGGTTTGGTAATAATGTGGCTCGTGATTTATGCGAAGAATTGCGAAGAGGTCCTGGTAAGTCTGGGCCGGCCCGCTTAGCCATGCGTCTCACGTCCATGGCACGCGCTTACCCCAATGGGCGCGCGCACCCTTCTTCAGGTATGACGGTGGGGGTACCGGAGCGCCGGGTACAAAGCTCTTCGTACATCGACGCCAAGCATCATTCCGGGTGTAGCTTCCGAGCTTAACGCTACTTACTACCGCAACTTACCACCAAGAAGACAAGGAGAATAAGATTACGCGCATTCGCCCTCAGCCACGCGCAGCTTAGACTCATCTTCATTCACCCACGCGTTCCTCAAGTTTAGTCCATCGCGAACCGCGTCAGAGAGAGCACATGGCCGCTGTCCATACCCTGCATAACATGACTCTCGGCCAACAAAACAAGATGTACAACGTCATCCAACAACATTCGCCTCAGCAGCCGAACTGTGTGATCGTCTCCACCGGGATGAACCAGGCTACGAAGACGGTCATCCAGAACAAGAGACCTCTGGCGCCGGCACCGGCCCCAGAGCGCACCTCCGTTCTGGTAACCAACAACAGTGATCCAAGGTGCAAGAGGAAAATCCAATTCATGCCGTACGGGGCTTCCCCTCAGCAGCCGGCCTCCGTTGCCAGGAGGAACGCTCGCGAAAGAAACCGTGTTAAACAAGTGAACAATGGATTCGCCACCCTCAGGCAGCACATCCCTGCCAGCGTTGCCGCCGCCTTCAGTCCACCTGGAATTCCTACAGGTGGTCGAGGCGCCAGCAAAAAGCTGAGCAAAGTTGACACCCTTCGTCTGGCAGTCGAATACATCAGGAGTCTGCAGCAGATGATCGACGACCACGAGACCGAGTTGTCCTCGCAAAGTGGAAGTGAACACAACGTTATGGACAGTAGATACTACTCGAGCAGTCCTGAGACGATGAACCATCAACAATACACCTACCCCGTCATGCTACCAACTCCAGCCTGTTCAGAGGCCTCCACCTCTCCGACACCGTCCCACAGCTCGGACGGATCCCTTAACCACAACACCGCCTACGTTCCGAACATCCTCTACCATAATCATCAAGACAACTACGAAAACTACGACCCCAAGAGCCCCGAAGACGAAGAGCTCCTCGATGCCATATTCTCATGGCAGCACGACTAAACAACAACAACAATAAGGTATGTATCTTGCGACAAAAAAAATCGTTAATCATTATTATCATAACTTGATATAAACCCCTCGTACCTGCTCTCTATTTACCACCCCATACTACCTGGCGCAATTCAAAACCGCTCGCATTTCCTTTTCAGAAACCCTCCTCCTTCTCCTTTTTTTTCCTTCTCTTCTCCTTCTTCAAAGGAGATTTTATGCGAGGGGGTCTCTCTCGCAGACTAGTTTCTTAAGATGCAGTTTACCGTGAAAGAAATACGCACAAAAACCCCGGTCCGAACAATACCGTCTGAAATCTCGGGGATGAAAAAAAAACGATCACTCTTTATTTCGCTGCTTTTTCTTCTTCATCTCCTCCACCTCCTTTCTGTCTCGTAAAAGCTCAGCACGGAGACAAATTGCAATTAGTTGCGTTTCTGCCTACGCCAATAAAACGGAAGGTCAATGGTTATAAAAGTGTAATACGCACATGCATTGAAGAACCGGCTCAAAACTCGTTCTAATTTCTGGCCTATCCCAACATCATCTCTCCTCCTCCAACGTTGCTTTATATCGCTTAATACTCTCTTTATAATTATCACACACTAATTTTATGTTATCTTTCTCTTTACAGAACTCTCGATGAAACCAATCCGCCAAGTGCCTTCTCGGATCCAAACGAAATCAGAGACAACGAAAACAAAAAACTATTATCTATTTTATAAATTTTATACATTTGTTATTAAATCTAGTCATTGTTTTATATCATGTACATATGTAAATAATCTATTACTTATATTAAGTTTAGACATTAAGCAAACAATGTGCCTTATTATATAATTATAATAATCTAGTAAGAAAAAAATAACAACGATCAAAATTATTGTAATACATTCCTCTTTGTTATTTAGGTGTAAAAACTCGTACTGATTATTCTTAATGATTTATTAAAGAAAACTACTTATTAGAAAACAAATTGAAAAACGTCTCGTTACTTTTCTAGCCTAGCGTTAAAGTCTCCCATCATATTAAGCAAATGTACATAGAAAAATGAAACTTTATTTTTCTATCGTCAACATAAATATACAGAAAAAAAACTGAAAGTATCTACGAAACTTGAGCTCCATTCACTTTCACTGTTTATCTCCCTCTTCATGCGTTCCTCTTCTGTTTTTTTCTTTCTTCTCTTTCTTTCTTCCTTCCTCCGTTTTTTTTTTCGATCGAAAACATCTGTTCAACTGGTGTTAATGTTGTGAGTGGCGCGTGCGTCCACCTAAACAACACCTGCCCCCTGTTCTTTGAAAGAAAAGCGATATGTTAATGACACTCGTCTCAAACTAATTTACAACACTACATAGGGGACACGCCGCCCATCCTTACGTGTTACATAATTCAATTACCGAATGACTCCCGACCGGAATCTTATTGCATTCTCCTATTGACATTAATTACACTCAAACTCCAGTAGCTCGAACTATTCGCGAAACATGTTTCTCGTTGACTCTAAGAATCGTGTAATAAAAAAAAAGTGTAGTAATTGAAATTAACATAACTACAATTTCATTGGAAGTTAACATGAATTAAATTATGCGTAGGTTTATTTGTATTAATTTTAATTACATCCGTTTAATTGAAACAAGTTCATTGTAAATTTGATTAAATTAAATTGTCTTTTATGTTTTTCTATTTATGTATGAAATAAAGGTTGGTATACTATTAATAATAATAGTAAAATATTAAATAATTTATTTTTTAAAAAGCTGCAGTGGTAAACCTTCTAAATTACTTACAATATGTTTTACATTAAATTAAATATCAAAATTTCTTTAGATTTAGACTTCGGAGAAAAATATATAATGAATATAGAAATGGTTGTTAAAATATATTTAACATGTATTCACATATAAAATAAGTTACAAATAAACCAATAATAAATTATTATATAAATGTAATATGCGTAAAATCTTTCTCACTCAATTACAACTGACTTTCCCCGGATATTAATACAAATATTTTACCAAAATTCTGCAGAATGAGGGATAAAAAAAACTTTTAAGAAAATGTTGTCATACATGAAATGCGTTTTCGTCAATGAAGGTGGACGGAATGTGCAAAAAGAAATTTTGGAATTAGTTTAGCGACGGTTGAATTTTTGTTAAAAGAAGGACGGACGGACACGGCATGCTTTTCCAGCGATTGAGAGGACAGAATTTGCCTGTCAGAAGTGTTCGTCAATGTTCATTCATAAGACACTTATGAATAGAATAATTCTTGACACTTGAAGCTTATATTTTTGCTCCATTCACCGACCACAGAACTAAGATGGATCACAAAATAATATTATTATATGTAGGGATGAGAAAGAGATATCTTACAACTATATTATTCCTACGAAACTTTATTTTGCAATCCATCAAAATCGGAACAAAATAAGTTTGTCCGTGAAGTTGATAGAAATGTAATGTATCTAGAATAGATTGAAAAATATAGTAAATATATGAATTTGTAGACAAAAAGTAGTACGAACTTATGTTAACAAAAATAATTTGTATATAAAATATAGTATACAATGTTTACATAAAATGATCAAAAGTACATTAAGCATATAGTAATGTAAGTATAGTACAAAAAATGTTCATGAATTCAGAAAAATTGAAAAGAATAAATAGAAGTAAATGAAAATATTTTCTAAATTTTATTATATAATTAATAAATGTATACATAAAAATGTATAGATTAAATTTAGTTAAGTAGAGAATTACAGAATTACACAGTATTTTTTCTAACACAATTTAATCAGATATTATACAGTTTTTGTTGTGTTGAATTAAGTGTGAAAAAAGTGATGGAAAAGAAGAGCAAAGAGTCTCATTTGTCGCTTATTTAAAGGCGATTCGATCTGTTGCTTCCGCCTTAATCGATTTCGGTTGCTTGGTTTTCTTCCAGTTTCGGTGTGTATTTGGAAAACCAGACGAAACCGCAGAACGAGAAGTGTTAGTCTCTGGAAGCCGACGCAGATGAAAGAAGCTACGAAAAAAACGCGTATAAATAGTAAATGCAAGATAAATAAGAATGATTGGTGAGACGGTGACCTTGCAGAAGGTCACGCTTCACGCGCGCACGTCTTCAAGACGAGAGAAGAGTCCGGTGTTTACAAAGCGCTGCACGCGAGAACCCATAGGAATAAATCACGAAATCGATCTAAGGTAACGGACATCGAAAGGTAAACTTATTGTTGAAGCGAAATTTCTTGAATAGAGGGGTTTTTATCCTCACATATATATATTCTTATTCGGGTGTACAATGAACCTTCGTCCACTCTCTCTCTCGTTTTTCGCTTATTCAATGAGCTTTTGTGCGGAGCGTCCTATTCATTCTTAAAAACTGCCATCGTCCTTAGAGAATGCGAGCTTTGTGCTTTGGGTAGAGAAGAAAAAGTGACTTGTAGCTCCGGCAATAATTAGCGTAACCCGAAAGAAAGATGAAGAAACTGCGTTCGTGAAGGAGGAGAAGCTGAAGAAAGTAATGGGAGTGTGTGCGTATGTATACTTGGGTCACAATCGTCGGAGAAGGCCCTAATTACACGTGCACCGAACAATAAGGACTCGCGCGACAATACCGTATATTCTGTTATGAATGGACGAGGCACGCGAACGCGCTCACATGTGTGGGTCTTGGGCTGATGGTGGAAGGAAGTGGGAGGAATGCTAAAAACGTGTCGCTTTGTCCTCGCCATCCTTGCGTCCTGCACATACCTTCTTCTTCCGCCTCACAATTCCGGCCCTCCCCGAGACGTCTTGGCCACTTCCTAGACGTCCTTGTTATGCAAATATCGAGCGCGATCGTTGGGCGTCACGATGCTATCGCCGACAATCCAGTTTTTGCTACCTCTCTCTACCTCCAGCAACAACATCAAAAAAAAAGTGCATGTACGAAAGAAACAGGAGACAGGATGAAATCGGAGAATTCTCAAACAAATTCCGCTATCTGCTTACACGCTTTTCGCAAAGGACTCTTCCCAGTTATCGCCTCCGTCTTACGCTCGCACTCAATTAAAGATAACGCCGAAAGGGCTGTGTGTGTGGGCCAGTCTAGAATTTCACTGCAACTAAAAAAAAGTCAAAAAAATCTAAACGAGCGCGCGAGAATGCGAAGCATCCCCATCCCAAGGGCGCCAGTCTAAATATTTCAGAACTAATTGCCCTAATTGTCCCACCCAGAAAAGGTACACCGAAGTTTCAAAGAGTTCGGGAATTCCTGATTTTTCACAAACTATTTTTGCGTCCCAAACACGTTTCTCCAATTTCCAGAGGGATTCTCATCAGTTACACCAATTAGACTGGACCGGTCCAGTTACAATTTGTAGATGCGTCTAATTTGACAATTACATTGACGTACCTTTTTACCGTTGATTGATTCCACGGCATCCGCTGCGGTCTCGATTCCGGCGAGATAAAAGGGGGATGAATAAAAATTTGTCACCCGATCCACAAATTGGATGCGATACGGGAAAAATTTCCAACCACCGCCGAACTGGACCAGCTCAATTACAAATGGAGCTTTCGCCCGGTGACATGGGAAAAACGCGGCAATCTTGATCCGAATTAAAAATAATAGAAAGCCACTTTGTCACCCCGGCAATCAAATAAGTGTGTTCTATTGTACCTTATAGATAACACGGGAGAAACAAAGACTGTAACAAACGGACAGGAGAAGTAAATTTGGATCAATTGGTTCTATAAGGAAAATCACTTAAAAGGGCTCTGTTCTTCTACTTTAATTAACCAAGTTAAGTATATTTCATTAAAAGACATTCTTTTATTTTATTCAATCCTATCTCATTTCTTTTATTTTTATTTTCAGTTTAAAGAAAAATAATTGTCACCAAATATCTAAAATATCTTATTTTTATTTCCAAAAATATTTGATTGCTTGATAAAATCTAAATATATTTTAACAATCTGTTATAAAACTACATTAAGTAATTTATGCAAAATGGATTATTAATTTAA